CGCGCATGTGTGTGTCTGTGTTGGGCGCCGGGGGGGCGAGGGGGGGGGGGGTAGCTTCCCTCTCTCTATGCAAGCAAGACAATAAGACATGACTTGGCTATTATCATATCTACAATTTTCTTATTTGTTGTGGTGCCAATTGAGATATTCGAGGACCCGGGCTTGTGATTTCTATTGCTGAATGGTTAAAAACTCCGAAATGCATTGACATTAACTCATTTATTTGTTTAGGAACGGTTCTTAAAAAGTGCATACCTCGTGTTCCCTTTTCCTCCATAGTGTAAGTTGCACGGACATATGATATGAATCAAGTGTTTTTGTAATTTATGTTTCTATACTACAAAGTACTACTACATTCCATAATGTAGTGAAAACATAATATAGTGTGCCCACGTTTTTCGAGATTCAACTTTGATCATTAATTAGACCAATAATATATAAATCATTTTACTGAAAAATTATACCTTTGAAAACTTCTTTCGAATACGAATTCAAAGGTATCTGTGATGCTCCCGCCGCAGTCGCCCATGTTGGTTAAATTTATGGTCGAAGTTAAATCTCAAGAAGCATGGGCGCACTGCATTATGGAATGGAAGGAGTATATAAGATGAATTGTACTATTTTTGTTCGTTCACGTGAGAATTGTATAGAATCTTAGATTACACCCTAGATGGCTCGAGACATCTATGAACTTTAATATACATCAATCTTGGCTTGAACTAGCAATCAACTGAAAAAAGAAAAACATCCACCTTTTATATTCAAGAAGAAAAGAAAGGATCAATAAATCAATAATATTGTGAATCTTTATTTAGGTGAAATTTGTCGAACCAGTTATAAGGGGCACTAGATTCTATCACTTTGGGGTGTTTATCACCTGTAGTTGGACGGAGTTTATATGGTAGTGTTTGGTTTGCTCCCTTTCCCTTATCCAACATCATGTGGACTCCACCCTGAATTGGTTGGGCCTCCAACAACATATAGGCAACGTCGCACTGCTAGTACCACAAAAGTGTGAGCTGAAATGAGGGTGCCATGCCTATTTCTCACTACTAGTCACGTAGCACCTTGACACTCATAATCAATGAACGATGAGTTGACATTGATTTTGGAAGTGTCACCATCAGGTGACTTTCAACGAGCTCTGACACATGTGGCTTTGGGCTTATTTTCTTTTCCATCTTATAGCAAATCATAGGTAGTCTCTCAAGTCTAACGAATCATTTCCCTTAGTGATTTTGTGGACTCTTCATATGTTCATGCATTGCTTGTTGCCCAAATCATCCAACATCCATGTAAAATTAAGAGTTCAACATATTCTGATACCAATCTCCCTTCATACTATATCATTGCCCTCTAGACTATATGTAGTCCCATGTTAAAAAGCGAATGCAATCCTGGGGATTCTTGGTTTAGTTCAAAAAGAGCGATGACGCTATAACGTCGTTCCCCTTCTTAAAGGCATTGTCTTGTTGCTCGGTGTCCCTGGTGTTGGATCTTGAGTCTTGAGAGCGATCGCGTCGATTCGGGCTGCATCTCATGGCATGGGCATCCTAGGCGCTATGTACATCCTACCAGATGCTTCTCCCATGGTTTTCGTCTTCGGCCTGGCCAGGTCCTGCAGCCCACTCGCCGATCTCTAAACGTTCTCGGTGGGAGTACGTTGATCATGTCAAATCTGAAGCCGCGGCCATTCGGTGGTGGTGCTTGTGTTAGTCGTGACGCGGTATGGGTGTCCTGTGCCCCGTGTCTCCTTGCCTTATGTGGCCGGAGGCCGGGGTAGGTGGGTTTAGCCGTATGTGTCCCTTGTTTAGGCCGAGCATCCCTCTTCCCTCTACTCTGGGCACCATACTCGCGCTTTAGCGTTCGTGTAGTGTGTTGTATCCTATCTTGTATTTTCTCCATTTTCTTCTATCAATGAAATGATACGTAAGCTTTGCGTATTTGCGAAAAAAGAGCATAAACACACACTGAGACGTCTGATGAACATCACTGAAAAACCTTCAGATCTGAACCTAAACTGGAGCAACATGGAGCTACTTCAGAAAAATAAAACAGTTTCGGCAGAGCTACATATCAGGTGGTTGACAAAAGGTCATGCTACATTGCTACTGGGTTTTCGAGGCTGTAAATCCTTTACTTGTCTGGACCTACAAAAGATGAACTGCTGCTACTAGCCTACTACCACTGTAAAGTTAACTACAAATTAATGCTAGCTTCCAGTCGACTGGAAGTTAGCGAAAGATCCGAACAATCCCGTTTTTCCGTTCCCTCGCGCACGATCCCGTTTTCTTTTTCCCCACGCGATTTTGTGCTGTGTGGAAGAAAAAAATTGCTGGAGCAGGGATTTAAACTCTGGTCACCTACTGCTACCTCAAATAGGTTAACCAACTGGCTAGCATTACTTGTTGTGCACTTGAACGCAACTGAACATTTTATCCTTCTTTATTACGCATCGGAAAAAAAACTTATATCTACTGATTTTTTCTTTTTCACTAGTGCGTCATGTTACTGACTATAGTGGGAGAGGCATACACGTTTATAAATCATGTTTACATCAATTTTAAATACATTTTAAAAAGTGTTTGACAAGGGGATTAAACTCTGATGATTTAGCACTGCCGATCTAATAAATTACATATAAACACCGTGGTAGTTTTGACCGGGGAAAAAGTTGTTAACAACACACCCTGAATTTTTTTTTGTAAATAACATGGTAATTTATGAAAGGTAGACCCGATAACTTTCGCACCCAGGGCCTGGTAACTTTTGACCGAGGAATTCTTTTTGTCGCACTACAACACAAACCCCCCTTTAGCAACGCATCGATGCGTTGTCGTATGTCCATATAACCGTTGCTAAGGTCTACACCAACGGATTATCATGCGCTGTCGTTGGTGGTGTTGCAAGGGTCTACAACAACATATATAATTGCGTTGGTAATCAACGTGAAAAAGCGTTGCAGGGTAGCAACATATATAGTTGCAGCCGAACAACACTTCGCATGCGTTGGTGTTGGTGGGTAACCTACACAAACTGATTTTGAAATGGACATAGCAGATTAGTTCAACCGTTATATGAAGTAGTATTTTATACATTACCAACAACATTAGTAAATCAACATTGATAGTGCGCATGAGTGGCAAATCCAGTAAAGAGAAAGATCTCATTTATTAAATCCAATCGGTTGCATTACATAGAACACAATCCAAAGAATATATACATGATTTCCATACATTGACCATGAAAGTGACATTCTGTAACATAATGTAGAACTATCTGGTACTGGCCCAGCTCTCCACCTTGCAATCAACTTAGTCATGCACCATCCATTTATCTGGGCGATCTACAACAACAACAAAAAGCTGACATGAGTAAGGACAATGTATTATTAAACAAAGAATAAAAAAAGGTTAACGGAGCAATAAATTTGAAAAAAAAGCAAATACAAATGTTGAAGGCCATGAGATAACTGATCTATCTGCATGAAAAATACTTCTGACATTTTTGAGTGGTCATATCAACTGATCATACTTTCTAATGTAGCATCAACAGGCATTGCTGATTGCTTACAATTCATTTCCGAAGTTAATAGCCTCAGTTTTATATTCTAGGTCGGTACTACCAGTGTAACAATCAGATTTTCTCTCAGCCAACAGGGACATGGATTTTGCATTTTTGCTTATATACTTCCCCCATTCACTATAATAAGACGTTTTGGATATTTTAATATGGTGTACATACGGATTGAAATGAGTCAACAGACACACTAAAACACATCTATATACATCCG